CCTTGTTTAAGTTGGTGAATGCTATCATAATCCTTGCCTTCAGTTCATCTTTGGTGTTACAAAATGTTTTGTTGGTGTCTTGCTTAACTGCACCCCACAAATAATAATGAAGTGGGTTGCAGTCTGGGGAGTTAGGTGGCCAGATGTAAGGCGTGATGTGGTCGCAGTAATTGTCTGACAGCCATGACTCAGTTCTCCTGCTTGTGTGGTATGGTACAGAGTCCTGATACCAGACATAGGGTCTTCCAATAGCCACCCTCTTGACAAGAGCAGCATTATCTTCTCAGGGCACTTGATATAGGCCTCCCTGTCAAGTCTGAGGTCCTGTGAGAAGATGAATAGAGGCATAACGTCACCATCACTAATGATTACTCCAAACACCTTCATAATCAGCATTAGATTCATCCAACTCTTTGCACTGTCCTCAGATTGACACCCAAATATTCTTAAATGTCCATATTAGAGCTCCTGGCGTGAAATCCAAGCAGTACAGCATGCCGTTTCCAAATTTCTGGCGGAGTGACTTGCGTCTTGGTGCACATTTTCTCATTGACGGTGCCCAACTGACCCAACTATACTGTCCAGTCGACAGAATCAAGAACAAACAACGCGTATGAATGAAATGAAAAAATATAAAATGAACAGATTAACATCGATAGATATGGACAGAGAGAATTAGATAGATAGATAGATAGATAGATAGATAGATAGATATGAACAGATTAACATCAATAGATATGGACAGAGAGAATTAGATAGATAGATAGATATGAACAGATTAACATCAATAGATATGAACAGAGAGAATTAGATAGATAGATAGATAGGTAGATAGATAGATATGAACAGATTAACATCGATAGATATGAACAGAGAGAATTAGATAGATAGATAGATAGATAGATAGATATGAACAGAGAGAATTAGATAGATAGATAGATAGATAGATATGAACAGATTAACATCGATAGATATGAACAGAGAGAATTAGATAGATAGATAGATAGATAGATATGAACAGATTAACATCGATAGATATGAACAGAGAGAATTAGATAGATAGATGATAGATAGATATGAACAGATTAACATCGATAGATATGAACAGAGAGAATTAGATAGATAGATAGATAGATAGATAGATATGAACAGATAGATAATGAATATGAACAGATTAACATCAATAGATATGGACAGAGAGAATTAGATAGATAGATAGATATGAACAGATTAGATATGAACAGAGAGAATTAGATAGATAGATAGATAGGTAGATAGATAGATATGAACAGATTAACATCGATAGATATGAACAGAGAGAATTAGATAGATAGATAGATAGATAGATAGATAGATAGATATGAAGAGAGAATTAGATAGAATATAGATAGATAGATAGATATGAACAGATAGATAGATAGAACAGAGAACAGAATTAGATAGATAGATAGATAGATAGATATGAACAGATTAACATCGATAGATATGAACAAAGAGAATTAGATAGATAGATATAGATAGATAGATACAGATTAACATCGATAGATATGAACAGAGAGAATTAGATAGATAGATAGATAGATAGATATGAACAGATTAACATCGATAGATATGAACAGAGAGAATTAGATAGATAGATAGATAGATAGATATGAACAGATTAACATCGATAGATATGAACAGAGAGAATTAGATAGATAGATAGATAGATAGATAGATAGATATGAACAGATTAACATCGATAGATATGAACAGAGAGAATTAGATAGATAGATAGGTAGATATGAACAGATTAACATCGATAGATATGAACAGAGAATTATTAGATAGATAGATAGATAGATAGATATGAACAGATTAACATCGATAGATATGAACAGAGAGAATTAGATAGATAGATAGATAGATAGATATGAACAGATTAACATCGATAGATATGAACAGAGAGAATTAGATAGATAGATAGATAGATAGATATGAACAGATTAACATCGATAGATATGAACAGAGAGAATTAGATAGATAGATAGATAGATAGATATGAACAGATTAACATCGATAGATATGAACAGAGAGAATTAGATGATATAGATAGATAGATAGATGAACAGATTAACATCGATAGATATGAACAGAGAGAATTAATAGATAGATAGATAGATAGATGAACAGATTAACATCGATAGAATTAGATTAGATAGATAGATAGATAGATATGAACAGATTAACATCGATAGATATGAACAGAGAGAATTAGATAGATAGATAGATAGATAGATATGAACAGATTAACATCGATAGATATGAACAGAGAGAATTAGATAGATAGATAGATAGATAGATATGAACAGATTAACATCGATAGATATGAACAGAGAGAATTAGATAGATAGATATGAACAGATTAACATCGATAGATATGAACAGAGAGAATTAGATAGATAGATAGATAGATAGATAGATAGATAGATATGAACAGATTAACATCGATAGATATGAACAGAGAGAATTAGATAGATAGATAGATAGATAGATAGATAGATAGATATGAACAGAATAGATAGATATGAACAGACAAAATTAGATAGATCGGTAGATATTAACAGACTAACAGATATGGAGAGCGAGTTAGATAGTAGATATGAACAGAGAGAATTAGATAAATAGATATGAATAGAGATAGATAAATATGATCATAGATAGATATGAACATAGATATGAACAGAGAGAATTACATACATACATAGATAAATATGTAGAGATAACAGCTAGATAGATAGATAGATAGATAGATAGATAGGCACAGACTAATGGAAAGATAATAGGATAATACATTTTACGGATTTTTCAATCTCCTTTTGTGACCATATATAGCATTGATATTTAGCTAGCTCTGTGCATATTCCTCTCGTTTATATATATATATATATATATATATATATATATATATATATATGTGTGTGTGTGTGTGTGTGTGTGTGTGTGTGTGTGTGTGTGTGTATGTATGTATAGATACATGCCATACATTGATTTCTTCGGACTGATGCTTTTAGCGTGGTCCCACTCTGACAGTAGTATACAGCGATTTTCTTCAGATATTGTCTGAGTTGCTAATCTTCTCTAATTCCGAACTGAACCCTTTTTTATTCAAAGAAACTACAATACAAATAATGATATCCATTTAAACAATTTGAGAGGAAAAAATTATATCTATGCCAGTCCGAATATCTATCTGTTTATCTTGCTACCTCTATACATGTGTGTGTCTGTGTGTGTCCACGTGTAAGGTATTTTTTTTAATGCACCCACTACCCTTTTAACGATCATGGCTTCCCAGAGATTACATTTTTTATTATCTATGAAATGTCATGTCTTCTTGCGAAATGTGTAATAGTACTTCTTAGCATAATCTATCTGGTCAGATTATTCCTTCTCCTATACTGGTTGCCAGTGGAGACTACAGAGTTCAGTTTACTCTGCTATTTAAGCCATAGTGGGTGAGAGAAGAAAATATCCACGCCTTTCCAAGTGCATTTGTGTGGAAGTGTAAGCAATAGAACACATGCGTAAACAGGTATCCACGTAAACTTACACACACACAAACACATGTGTGTGTGGTCTGATGATCGCTTCCTTGAGACGTGAAACTGACAGTCACGATGCAGTGTTGGATCCTATGTCCATACTGTCTATGACTAGAAACGTTTTATAAACGATAGTATGCACATCACTCCTAGAAATATAACAATATAAACTCGCATATTCATCAGGTAGATATTTCGAGTGGCAAATTCTAAAGGCTTTTTAATCGAAAACCTAAGATTATTCCAGATTGCGATTTAAGTCGCCGAAAACGTGCACCTAACATACTTAACCATCAAACCATATATGATAATTAGATAGATAATGAATAGACTGTGGTAGATAGATAGACAGATAGATAGATAATGAACAGACTGTGGTAGATAGATAGACAGATAGATAGATAGATAATGAACAGACTGTGGTAGATAGATAGATAGATAGATAGATAGATAGATAGATAGATAGATAGATAATGAACAGACTGTGGTAGATAGATAGATAGATAGATAGATAATGAACAGACTGTGGTAGATAGATAGATAGATAGATAGATAATGAACAGACTGTGGTAGATAGATAGATAGATAGATAGATAGATAGATAATGAACAGACTGTGGTAGATAGATAGATAGGTCATGAACAGACTGTGGTAGATAGATAGATAATGAATAGACTGTGGTAGAGAGATAGATAGATAAAGAATAGACTGTGATAGATAAATAGATAGACCGATAGATAGATAATGAATAGACTGTGATAGATAAATTGAGAGATAGATAGATATTCGATATTCAGTTTGAAGCCTCCGTGTAATCTTCAGACCAAATCTGAAGATCGCATTGTGTAACTGACAATCACCATGCAGTGTTGATCCATTTATCCACATTCTCTATCACACACACACACACACACACACACACACACACACACACACACATATATATATATATATATATATATATATATATATATATACGAACACCTCGATTTGGTGTAATGGTTAGAAAAATTGTCTTTCTAGATCAATTACAACTGAGTAGAGGGTTCGATCGACCCTGTGCCACTACTAAAGCTATACTTTATACATATATATATATATATATATATATATATATATATATATATATATATATATTCAACAAACAATGTATATATATATATATATATATATAAATTGGTCAAAAAAAATCTGTTCGGTTTACTAAAGTAAATTTTGTAGTTAATAAGCGAACGAACTTTTGGGCCAACTTAATACATTCATATATATATATATATATATATATATATATATATATATATATATATATATATATATATTGTCTTGTGTAAGTAACTAAAATGTTGAAGAAAGTGTCCAGGTTCTCTCCTATCGTTCGTACATGGTGTCAACCAGTGACTGAAGACTTGCAGACAT